GAGGAAGACTGGCCCTGGGCTAACATCCGTGCCCATCTTCCTCCACTTTATACGGGACGCCACCACAGCATGGCTTGCCAAGCAGTGCGTCGGTGTGCACCCGGGATCCGAACCGGCGAACCCTGGGCCATCGCAGCGGAGTGCGCGCACCTAACCGCTTGCGCCACCGGGCCGGCCCCTCCTGAGCTTTCTGAACACACATAAATACCTAAACGGCACACCCTGCTAGAAAGCACATTTCAGTACACAGAGAGTAAACACACTTGACCCAATTTGTCCTCTAGAGTATTTTTTCTTCAGCTTCGCAAAGATTGATAATGTTGGAAAAATGGAGGCAGCACAATAATGCCTCCTCTATATTTCCCTAGATTACAGGCTGAAGGACAAAAACTGTGTTCTTTCTTTCTTTGTTTCAGGCCATTGTAATAAACATGATGGTCACTCAGTAACCCATGAAAATGTCTGCCTAAGATTTGGCCCTGGCAGCCTCCCTCCCGATAAGAGTGATCTGATTAAATACACTCATATTCTCCTAATCCATAAAAATTATACTTTGTTCCCCATGTCTCTAGAAAAGAGAAGGCACAAGGTTTGAACCAAAGGAGCTTTCCTAAGCATTTGACTATTTCTTAATTAAAAAAAAAAAAAAACTAGTACATGGTGACGGATGGCAACTAGACTTTTAGTGGTGAACATGATGCAGTTTATATACGGAAGTCGAAATATGTTGTACACCTGAAATTTATATAATGTTATAAGCCAACGTGACCTCAATTAAAAAATAAAATAAATTTTAAAAATAAAAAGGGGAGTGACATCAGCATCATGGCAGAGTGAGCTTTCCCGTAAACTCTTCCCTGGATAAGATACAACAAAAGAACAGTCACAGACCAACAACAGACTCCTAGACAGCAAAAAGCAGGATCGGAAAGATCCACACTGCCGCACATCTGAGCGTGGAACGCGCTGGGCCCCTGGAGGAAGTGGGGAGAGTTAAGGAGAACTCCTCTCCCTCCCCATCAGATCAACGATCCCGGTCCTCGCAGCTCCCAGAGAGCGGGGAGGGGCGGCCCTCTGCGGGGAAACCGTAGCTCTTCGGGCTCTCTCAGCCAGTGGGAAACTCCCACACAGAGCATTCAGAACTGTTACAGGGTACCATCAACATCTGAGCACCCCAGGAGAGCAGATGACGAGGGGCGAACGAGAAGCCCCCCACGCCAGGGACCCAGAGGGCAAAAGAGAGAGAGAGCCCCCCCACCAGCCGACCAGACCAAACCAAGCGGCCGGCTGATGGCAGCGAACAGCCGGGGCAGAGCACAGGGGCCTCAGATTTCACAGCCCTTTACCCCCACACAGTGGCGGCCGGTGGAAATTGCAACCAGATATTTCCAGGATGAGGAACAACAAAGCCAATACAGGAACCACAATGCAAAGGTACATGAAATCACCAGACCAGAAGGAAAATGACAAGCACCCAGAAACCAACGCTGAAGACACAGAAATCCATAACCTAAA